AAAATAATGATAGTAATGAATTACAAAGCATAGAGGAAAATAGAACTCTGTAAGTCATTACTGATTTAAATAATTTATTAACAAATTGGGCAGAAGGGAGAGCTTTTCCATGGAGTCGAAAACTGATACATGGTATGTAAAAGGAGCAATGAGGCCAGATGTGGTGGGTGTCTGTAATCCCAGCTACTCGGGAGGCTGAGGCAGGAGAATTGCCTGAACCCGGGAGGTGGAGTTAGTGTGTCAAGATCATGCTGTCGCACTGTAGTCTGGGTGACAGAGCAAGACTATGTCTTGGGGGGTTGCTGAGGGGTGAGGGGGAAGGAGCAAAGAGACTATCAAAGCACCATTTGGCAACTACAATAGTAACAGTTGCTTCTAGTAAGAATTATTAATAGATGTTAAAAGTAGTAATTTTTAAAAAAACAAGGTATTTATATAGTCTGGAAATATCTGTCTATAAGAAACTTACTAGTTAAAAAGGGAAAATAGTATCTTTACAGTAGAGAAACTTGGCACATGGTCAAAGCTAATATCATTTGTAATGGGACAAAAGTGACACCATGTGCCTCTTGATATTATGCATTATGCAGGACACACATCTCTGATCTTCCTGCCAAAAACCACATAACCTGAATCTAAACGCCCCCATCAAAAAAAAAAAAAACCCAAATTGAGGGCCATTCTACAAAATAAATAGCTTACAGTTTTCAAAAATATCAAGCTCATGAAAGGTATGGACTAAAGAACTCTTCCAGGAGACTAAAGTGATGACAACTAAGTGCTATGTGTGATATTGAACTAGATCTTAGATCAGGAAGGCAAAGAGATGTCCTTGTTTTTAGGAAGTCAGAGGGTAAGTAAAGGGGAGAAGAATATCATGTTTGCTACTTACTTTTAATCAGTTCAGGGAAAACACTGTGTGCGTGTGTGTGTGTGTGTGTGTGTGTGTGTTAAATGTGGTAAAATGCTAACATCTTAGAAATCTGGGCAAAGGGTATGTCTGCAGTGTTTCTGTAAGTCTGAAATTATTTCAGAATAAAGTTCTTTTTAAAAAGTAACTAGTTTTTTAAAACATAGTTGGTTGAGTGTTGTGTCCCAGTAGGAAATCCCTTATTCTCCCTCTCTCCTTTTATTTTTAAATTCTGTGTTGGATTTTATAAATTACACATATTTGTAAAAATTTCAAATGATGCAAAATTGTGCAAAAGTCTATGCTCTCTCCCACTCCTGCACCACTCCTGTTAAGTTGACTGCTATTAACAGATTGGGTGTCTCATTCTCAACCTTTCTAGACTTAAACAGGGAAGTATAGATGCACATGTATATACAGTCTCCTCTACCCCCATACTACTAAACATTGTTGAGTACCTTTTTTTGACTTAATCTAGCCATAGGCATTTTTCTCAATATGTATTTATAGCTCTGCGTTGTTTTTAACTTTTTTCTCTAAATGAATCATTCCATTGTCCCTAAAACTCATTGTCAAGGACTGATGGACTGACCTCAGTGTAGAACCATTTGTAAGGACACTGGGAGCCTGAAGTTCACAGAATTGAAGCACTGTTTATTGTACCAACTAACCAAGACTCTTTCAGGCATGAGGGTGCTCTGAAGACGTCAGTGACAGGAATTTGGAGAATTTTTCTCTAGTGAGAGGCTGTTAAGGTGACTCCACCTTGGTCAACACCATTTTCTGTGTCTCTATATAGGCTCAAGGTTGAAATCTTTTAAAGAGAAAACAGTTTTTGTCATTTTGGGCTGCAGCTGCCCCTTAAGTAGGCAACTGTGGTCAGAGGAATGAAGGCATAGAACACAGACATTGGACCCTGAGTACCCTTCCCAAAGAAGAAGGCTTAAAGGGCAGTAGCCATCTCACCCAGCTTCTCTTCATGGGCTGCTGTAATGGTGTGATGTCTGATCTGTTCCAGTCTCTCACTGAGTCTGTCTTTTTTACACCACTAGAGTTACCGCCAACCACTGTGATTCTCAAATGTGCTCCCTGCACAAGCAGCATCAGCATTACCCTGAACTTGTTACAAATACAAATTCTTAGGTTCCATCTCAGAGCTACTGAATCAGAAACTCTAGCAAGTCCTCCCAAGTTGATTCTGCTAACATTTGAGGATCACAGATCTGCTATATAAAGGTGATCATATTATCCTCCCATTTTAAAACCCTAATGGCTTAGCCACGCACACACTCCAAAGTCCTCACTAACAGTAATAAGAGGTCTTTTGTGATCTTACCCTAGCCTGCTTGTTCAGCCACCCAACCCCGGACCCCTCCCACCCCACCCCACTCCAGTTTCTGCATCCTGTTACTGAGAAATTTGCTGAGCTCTTGCCTGAACTGCACCTGGTGAACTTTTGCTCTTCCATCACTTCCTCTGGTGCCTTCCCTGGCTCCCTGACATGAAACTGCCCTGGTACACTCTTAAGTATACTGGACTAACAAGAATACATTGTTTCTCAGCAGTGTCCTTTATCTCCCAGAGTTTGTCCTGGGTGGGGAATTCAGTCCATGTAAATTATATGGAACCTGGATCAGTTGAGACTTTTGGCTGTCCCTGTAGCCAGTCAGATTGGGGTGCTTGTAAGTAACTGTTTATTTGGAAATTAATATACTGATGCTCAGAAACTGTCCTTATGTTCCATATAATAAATAGGACACCATTTACATTTGGAAAAGAAAGGTTCTCTGTTCATTATGAGAAGAGTGGTGGATTATGAGCAAGAAAGGAAAAGGTTGATTTTGAAAGACACAGGTTCACCCTTTCACTTGGCGGTAATCTTATCCTGACAGCATTTAATGTTAAGTAATTGTAGCCAGAAAAGAATCTTAGTAGGCTTTAATTAAAAACACAAGGAAAGTTTTTTCTCTTGTCTTCTTCCTATCTGCCTCTCTTTCGTCTTTTCTTTCTTCTCTTATTCATGTCTGTGTTCTCCCTTCTCCTGCCCCTCTCTTTCTCCTCTTCATCAACCCTTAACGCTTAAAATGTTTTTTGGCTTGGCTAATCCCTATGGATGGAAACTTAGTTGAGCAGGATATTGATTACCAAATATGGTATTGCTGCTAAAGATGTTAGAGGAATGTGGCTTGTATTCTAAGCCTCTGGCCTCTGAATAAGCTGCCAAACAAATTAGGTCATTTTAACTTCTGAGCTTTTTTCTTTTTTTTTTTTTTTTTAAATAAGGATGCTGGAACTTTGATTTGGAACATGATGTTGATGTTATTTTAGCTCAGATGGGAGGAAGGGGATATAAAGAAGGGGGCAGGGAGTGAGGGAAACTTAGTTCAGCATGTTTTAGGACTTGAGCCACCAGCCCAGGTTGTGTAAGAGGCAAGTACATTATATGGAGCTTCAGTTGATTCTGGAACACCAGTGGAAGAGCTGAGGCATGGAATTCACATATGCAACCTCGTTTTCTGAGGCTAGACGCTCTAGAGGACCACGACCAGGTCCCAGGATACTCTTCATGTTATCCCCAGTGGCCTGGGCCACATGACTCACGATAATGTGAGCTCAGATTTAGGAAGTGTCTCCTTCACAGGAAGGTTGGTCAAGTTTAGTGCCAGGGAGTATGCCCTGAAGTTGATGGCAAGTTGCTACTATGTGTATCTGATGGAGTGTGGTGCAAATGAGCATATCCTTTCACAGCATGCCTGTACATGACATCCAAGGAGTGTGCTTGTCTCCCAGCAAAGACCACAATTCTGCAGGTCCATTCTTGGAAAGATTTATTCTGTTGTGACACTAGCTTTGTTAGGGTGGAAATTGGTCCATCTCAGTGAGGGCCTTTGTGACGTCACCCCAGCCTGCTTCAGAATGTAGCTTTGTTTTTTGGTTTTGTTTTTCCTTGTATACTTTTTCGGCAAAATAATATTGAGGTTTCCCAAATTTAAAAAGAAAAAAACGCATACAACCAACACCAATTTAAGAAAATTTGTTTTTATGTTTCACAAAACGGGCACTGTCTTCGCTTTTCTGTGTTGATTAGGTATGCACAAGGGTATTCTCCCCAACCCTTTTGCTACGGCCCTCAGTTGGTTTCTTCTCAGAATGAATGAGTCATGCTCATGAAGAAATTCCACCCACTCCAGGACTTCTGGATCAGGGTCCTGTAGCTTTTGTTAGGCCTTTCTAGGGACCTCTTTTTCCTTCCCTTTGCCCGTTTATTTCCTCTTGATGCCATTACCATCCAGCCACAGGCTCTTCCTTGTATCCTTGAAGCTGAGCCTGTGAAGTTCAGAGTTGTTCATCTTGGTCTCTGGAGTAAGAGACTCTTATTTTTGTGGATATTGCTCTTTCTTTTCTTGAAGCTCATTAAGAAGCATGGTGGGGGGCAGGGGATGCTTTGGAGCCCACAAGCCTTTGTGTGTACATTCAGAACACTAAATGGCAACTGTGTTCTTAGGAGACTCATTTTCAGGACTCCCTTTATAGACCACACCATATAATCATGGGACCTGAGTGGGTCCCATGGGTGAACATTTAAAATGCAGTGTATTTGGGATATCTTTCTGATGCGTAGGGTCCAGAATTCATGATGTTGGATGCTTAATAATGAAGGCATTCTTGAATGGTGGAAGGGTTCCAGTTAGACTTGTCTTGCCCTAACTTGTCTTTCATAGTGTCTGTGATTTATTTTACTAAATATGATCTGTTTTAGATAAACTTTCAGGAATAGGGTCAAAGGTTACTGAAATTACTGTACATTAAAGTGTGTAACTGTGCTAGGAATTTGCTGGTTCAAATTTTAAACTGGAAAGTTTTTGTCTAAAAGGGGAGTATTAAAAATCTGTGTAACTAAATTTTTTAAGTAAAGTAAATCTCACTGACTTTTGGGATTCTTTGTGGTGTTATTTTTCATGTGACCTGTGTAAGTAGTAAGAATGACCTTTTTTCCTGATAGACCAGGTTTTACTGGTGTTTATTTTGTCACCGTTCTGGTTCGAATAAAGAAATGAAAACATCTTCCATTTGTTCTTTATTTCCAAAGGGCATCCGCTTTGATCCTGAAATCCCGCAAACACTGCGACTAGAGTTTGCTAAGGCAAACACGAAGATGGCCAAGAGTAAACTCGTAGGGACTCCAAACCCCAGTACTCCTCTGCCCAACACTGTACCTCAGTTCATTGCCAGAGAGCCATGTAAGTCAATCTACTTTTCATTTAGAAATAATAATAACTAAGAACTGTTCATGTGCTCCATGTGAGGTTACACCACGGGACGTGGAGCTGGCTGAGTGTTATTTTCCATTTCTGTGAAGAAGTTGCCTAGGCGATCTGGTGTCAGAATTCCAAATACAGCAATCCTGTTTGGGATTGGCTGTCCCAAAAGATGGTTCAGCTTCAGTAGAACCATAACTTCAGAATTGCATTTGATGTACTACAAATTTCCTTTGTGAGTATGCCCCTAGTTGCCTTGGGTATAAACCCTTCATTCCTCCATGTTTGGGCGTGATAGCTGGTTCTCAGTATTTACTTTAATTTGCTAAATTAAATTTTACTGAAAGAGCAAGTCACTATTTCCATTTGTTGAAGGACATCAGCTCAGTGGCTTTGGAAAAATAGGATATTAAAAATGAAGCAGATCTTACGAAGTTGGTTCCATTCAGCCATAACTCTAGGGGGAAAAGTAAACACATGCAAAGAATTTATTTATTGGAACAGTCAGTCTAGCAAACTGTAATACCATAAAACATTAAAGAAATTTGGGGCTTCCTGTTTTAACTTAATTGGATAAGGACACTGGCTAATTGCTCAACACGTCTTTTACCCAGCATTAATGAGCTTATTTCATTATATGTCTATACTACTATTTCTGTCTTTCATTGAATAACTTTAAAAGATTGTCTGAAGTTTTTTTCTTAAGCTCTGTCAGTGGTAGAAGTGGGTCGTGAGACAGGCCTTAAGTCTTCTTTTCATTGCAGAGCCATATGTGATTTAATATGGCAGAGTGTTCAAGGAAACCCAAGTGACTTGGATTCCTAGTTATTTGGAATATTTCTGTCCCATCTTTTTTTTTCTGCTTTCTAAACCACAGAATGGTGGTCTTCTTTCTTTGATGATAAATTTTAACTTTTCATACTGAATTTGAAGGACACAGGGATTTTTTGCTTTCCCCACGTCGTGCATGTCAGATTTAATCACATTATCTTTGGAAGTCACAGCCACTGTGTAGCTCAGTCACTCTTGAGAAACCTGCTACTCATCAGTGGAAACTAACAGATAACTCTGCCAGCATGTTCTAAAATAAATGTTTCTATGAAGCCAGAAAAATCATAATAGAGAAAAAGATTATTTTGTTCTTCCACCTTCTTTGTTCAGGGAAACCAGAAATCTTTACTTATTTAGGAAGGAAATCTAAACAAGTCACATCTTACAGTGTACTTGTAGTACAGAAGGATGTAGAATGTTCTTTACATCATTCTTTATAGTATCTAGCTTAATACTTTGTATATGGTGTATATTCAATATTATAGTGAGTAATCTGATAATGAAATTGGGCTATTTGTAGAACTACAGACTCACTTGTGTGCCTCCTCTCTCTGAAATTTCTTGGTATCAAAAAAGAATATTTTTAGGATACTTGATTTAGCAAAGATAACCTAAAGCTATTCTTTGCCTTTTTAGTGAATTTGCCAGCCTCAGATCTCAGAGTTCTTTGTAAAGATTAATTCAGACAGGAAATGTAATGCTGGTGATACTTAACTTTACATTTCCATTTATCTGCTGAATACTCTTTTTATCAGGACCACAAAACTTTTTCTGAATCTCCTACAACAGCCCTGTGAAATAGGTAGCCAGGAAGGTGGTAGTAGCCAAGGCACAAGATGGTATACAAAGCAACAGTTATGAGCAAACTGGACATTCACTAGTCCCTGAAGTTACAGGAGAGCATACAGAGCTTAGAACTCTGTTCTGGCAAGCTCTGCTCACCTCCCTTTCTGGCATACCAGAACAGTGCAAAAATGGCCAGATAGTTTCCATGACAGGGTAAAAACTTGACCAACTGTTCACAGCAACACAAATTTGAAGTTAAAAAAAAAAATCCAAGCAGCCAGCAGTGTATTCTCAAGAAAATAAAAGTTAGCATGATTTCTCTTAATATAGCACCTTTTTACAACACAGTGTCTTGATGAGGGCAAGTTCACTATGGCTCAGGTCAACTTGATTATCCATTGCCCTTCCCCCTGGGAACTGGGGACTTGCCTGTCACATACAACTGTTGCTTTCCTGGAAGCACACTGCAAGACTAAAAACATTACATTGGGTCTACATGGACAAATCCAGTTGCATTGTACTCAGAATTGGTACTCAAGTTGGTCATTTTCACTACTTCTCAGGTGTAGACTATGATGGAATTGCAGGATTTGGGATGTGGAAAGGCCCTGAAGGCTAGTCTTTGTTGGAGGCCTTAAGAGAGAGATTTTTTTTTTTATAAACATTTCTTTTTGTTAATGTTTTTATATGGTAGTGACTGAAAAGTACTCGTTGCCATCACTAAAGGAAGAGTGTTCTGTGTTTTGATTTTACAACAAACATTCACTTGAACTCTCAATTTCTCCATGAATATCTGAACCTAATGAACTTAAACGAGCACCCAGTGTGCTAGACTCTGGAGAAGAAGGAAATTGGTTTTTGCTGTAAAAGAGCTGTCATTCCAGGGAGTTGATGGTGGTCAGAGTTGTCCGAAAGACGTGGCCCCATATGGAGGACATAAAAGAGATTCTGCAGCTTAGTTAAGATTGCCCCTGAATCAGAGTGCTGTATTTGCTGAGTATTTGCGCCAGGCATGAAGAGTGAGAAAACCAGGTGTTGCAACTTGCCTGAGTAGATAGTGGCCTGCTGTGGAGAACCTTGGCTTCAGGGTAGAAGGTGTCAGTGAGAATCCTGTCAGTAATTCTGCCACTTATTGACAAGCTTTGTGACCTTTAAGGAAGAAAAAAAAAAAAACTTACTTGTGTTCCTGTTCTCTCAGCTATAAAATAGGAATAATACTTTCTGCACCTGATTGTTAGGAGAGCCGCATGAAACAATATCCCAGAATTGGGCTGAGGATTAAATAGATACAGTGTATGTAAAAGTATACGTAATTGTAAAGTACACTCATAATTTGTTAATTAAAAAAAAAATGTATGGAGTTGCCTTTCCTAATAGTTACAGCAGGTATTGATCTTCCAAGGCAGGTGTCCCCAAACTTTTTACACAGGGGGCCAGTTCACTGTCCCTCAGACCGTTGGAGGGCCGCCACATACTGTGCTCCTCTCACTGACCACCAGTGAAAGAGGTGCCCCTTCCTGAAGTGCGGCGGGGACCGGTTAAATGGTCTCAGGGGGCCGCATGCCGCAGTTTGGGGACATTTGTTCCAAGGTGTCATCACAGTGTGATTGCAGCCAACTGCCTTTGCAAGTTAGGAGAAAGGATGAGTCACGTTGACATATGATTTCGAGAAAGTAGTACATCTACCTGCCTGAGATTTTATTAATAGAATTGATCATTAATTTGAGCTTTTCTTTTTCTTCCTTGTATGTAATAAAGTTTGAAAAGACCTGAGAAATCAGGTTAAGAAATGAGGAAGAATTATAAATTACATTAAATTCTCCTAGATTGTGCATTAGATTTTACAAGAAGGTAGTATTATATATTGAGAACTCTACTTTGGAGATGAAGAAAGAGTAAGTCACTATTTCTGATTTTTGTTTTTCTCGTCTGTAAAGTGATGATGCTGTGTGCCAGGTGCTCTGCTAAGCACTTTATGTGAATTATCTCATTTGATTCTCAAAAGCACTTGTTTTCCAGTTGAAGAAACTGAGGCCTCAGAAAGTCTAATAACTTTCCTGAGGTTACACCATCAAATAAGTGTGATGGCTGAATAGTGTTCCCCAGAATTCATACGATGACGTCTCTGCTCCTAGTACCTCAAAACATAACCATATTTGGAGATAAGATTTTTAAAGAGATGATTAAGTTCAAGTGAGGCCCTTAGGGGTGGAGCCCTAATCCAATATGACTGCTGTCCTTATAAGAAGAAAAAGAGACACCGGGTATGTATACACACAGAGGAAGGGCCGTTTGAGGACTGAGGAGAAGGCAGCCATCTGCAAGGCAAGGATAGAGACTTAAAGAGAAACAACCCTATGGACACCTAGATCTTGGGCTTCTGGCCTCTAGAACTGTGAGAAAATAAATAAATGTTTAAGCCCTCACTCTGGTATTTCACTATGGCAGCCCTAGCAATACAATACATCAAGTGATAGAACAGAGACTTGAATTCTAGGCTACTTATTTTGTCATTTACTAGCTTTGTAAGTTTGGTTTAGTTACCTATAACCTGTCTGTGTCTCAGTTTTCTCAGCTACACAACGCAGTAATAAGGGCCATAGAGTCAGTCCACAGTGACTGTTAGTGTGTATGTGTAAAAATATGTACATTCATGTGTCTTTTGTCCCTCATAATTATGAGACCTATAGTTTTTCTGTGTTTTCTGTACTCAGCATCTAACATCCAGAAATACATAATGAAATTTTTTTTGGTAACAGACCATAGTTTTATTTTATTTATATTTATTTTTGAGACACAGTCTCGTTCTTATTGCCCAGTCTAGAGTGCGATGGTGCCACCTTGGCTCACTGCAGCCTCCGCTTCCCGGATTCAAGCAATTCTCCTGCCTCAGCCTCCCAAGTAGCTGGGATTATAGGCAGTGCCTCCACGCCCAGCTAATTTTGTATTTTTAGTAGAGATGGGGTTTCTCCATGTTGGTCAGGCTGGTCTCGAACTCCCTTATTATAATAGTGCCCTTAAAGGTGGAGGCATTCAACACTTGAGTATTTACTCAATTTAGACAGAGCCTGTCCTTTCAATTCAGTTTTTATGAAGCAAGTATCAAAAGGCTTCAGAACTCTGGAGTAGTGAAGATGCCTATACTCCAGCCCCAAGGAGTCTGGTTCTGTAGATCTGGGCTGGGACTTAGGCTCTGTATTTTTAAAAAATAATTATTATTCTTATTATTTTCATCCACTCTAGGCTTTTAAAAGCTCTTTGGGTAGTTTTGATGCACAGTTAAGTTTAAGATAAATCGAGGAATTTTTAAAGTTAAATTTGTCTTCCTACTCTAATATTCTACCTTAACCCTCTACATTTCTTCC